GTTCGCCACGTACCCTGGGAGATCCCTATCGACGATCTTCGCCCTCTTCTCCCACAACTACTGGACATGGAACGCCGCATCAACCCGGTCTCCAAACATCCATCCAACGAACTCATCGGCTGGTGGGTGGGCCCCCTCCCCCCGAAGGTGAATGTAGGACCAATTCACAACTGTCCTCTCGACCGATTTATCGGAACCCCGAAAATCTGTGGTCGTTGCCAATCGTGGAAACACCGCACCTGGGAGTGCACGAGGATGGTCGCCTGCGGTTTCTGTGCAGGTCCTCACGACACAGTGGAATGCAAATCGAAAATTCAGAACAAAATCCCAGTTATTCCACGGTGCGTCAATTGCCATGGCAGTCACCACGCCTGGAATGCCAATTGCCCACAGCGTCCTGGCACTCGCCCGGGGAAAACTTACCTTGTACCACCGCCCTCGTCTCTGACGAAGCCCCTGTCAACCAAACCTCAATCCTATCCACCACCGCCTCTTCCATCCACCAAGGATTTCCCATTGATCTCCTCTCCTCTACCACCCCCTCCATCACCCCTACCACCCATCCTTTCTCCCCTCCCTCCCTCTCCCTACCGTTCTTGGAACAAGGTCGTTGCCGGCCCTGCCACACAGTCACCACCATCTCCTGCCCACCCGGACCCCCGCTGTCTCTCACCAGCACCACCACCTCTTACTCAACTGAACCCTCACCGTCCCTCTCCGTCGCTACCACCACCACATGCCCAGTCGGGCCCTCGGCAATCCTCGCCGCCACCTCCAGCTCATGCACAGGTACACCAAGTTGGTTCTATGGAAACAATCACTCTCCGTCTGGATCGCCACTCCAAGCAAATCAACCTTCTCTCAACCCAACTCGACTTGTTTGTGAAAACAATTGCGACATTGCAGAAGCAACAACAACTCATTCTGGACACCCTGACCCAACAGGGGCGCACTTTGCAAGCCCTGATGACCCGCCTCCTTCCATCTCCCGAGATGGAGGATCCATCCCTCGCTCTCCCACTCCTCCCTCTCCATTTCTCTCAACAGAATTTGGTACCTCCTCTGGAGCCCTGTCTAGCCCCTCCGACTCATCTCACACCGGAGGCCGTTCCCTCCTCTTCTTACAATGGAACATCCAGGGACTTAGACCTCGCCGGACAGACCTCGCCCAGTTTGTGCTCTCCCATCAAGTAGATGTTGCTCTACTTCAGGAAACCATCACAGACGATGTTACTCCACTCCGCCTCTCTGGCTATTCTGTTTACACCCTGCCTCGGTACCGTGGGCAGGCTCGTGGCCTCCTCACCCTTGTGCGTAACACCATTCCATCTGTTCGTCTCCCTTCACCTGACTCACATGGACCCCCGTCTGAATTACTTTCTGTCTCCCTTACTCTTGGTGACCGGACCCTTCGTGTAGTCAATGTTCATTTCAAGAGTGATTCTCTGGACCCCCAGGTTCTTCACGACCTCCATGATGGGGTTCCCACTATTGTTCTTGGCGACTTTAATGCCCGCCATCCCACTCTTACTCCGGATCATCCCACTCCATGTACCCTTAATGGATCACATCTCTCACAGTTTCTTAATGGGGATGATGATGTTCGCTTTCTTTGTCCTGACGATCCTACTCGCCTCCCCCATAGTTTCCTTGATGTTGGCTTACTATTGAACGGTCATACTTCCTTTCATCCTACCGTCTGCACCGAGCCTGCTCTGTATAGTGACCATCTTGCCGTTACTACCCATCTCAGGCTCTCCTTCTCTGCCCCGACATCAACTCCTTATCGATCCCCTCGCCTTCGTCTCACACAAGATGCTGTTCCTTCCTTTACCCAATACCTTTCTACCTGGGCGGATTCCTATGTTGTCCCTCAGTCCCTTGACTCTTACAGCGCTGATTTTGTTGATGCCGTGTATGACTCTGTCAATCGCGCTACCCCTCCACGCCCTCCCCGTCACCCCAGAAGTGCCACCAACTACTGGTATCGTATCCCTGCCATGAGACATCTCCGGCAGGTAACCCGTGATCTCCACTCTGCCATACGGAGGTCTCGGTCTCCAGAGGACTGGGAAGACTTCAAAAATTGGTGCTCCTTTGCAACTCAGGAGCGCCGTCGGATACGTGAGGCGGACTGGCTATCCTTCACGGGGTCTCTATCGTTCCAGTCGTCACCCTCTTATGTATGGAATCGGATTAATGCTATACGGGGTACTCGACGGAGGCCTCCTCCCCACCCTGACCCCGCCTCCCTTGCCTGCTCTTTAATGGAGGACTGGGCACGAGCTTCCTCCCCTGAGGCACTTCCAGATCCAATGCAGGAGGCAGTGCAGGCCCGCATCGATGCGTCTGAGCCTGTTGTTCGTGCTGCTCTTACCTCCCCTGCCCCCACTGATCATCCCATCACACAGTTCGAGCTTGACAGTGCTCGTCGCTCTAGAAAAGACACCTCTCCTGGGGATGATCAGATAACCTACTCCGTCCTCAACGCCTGTACTAATATTCTTAACGGCCCCTTGCTTGCTCTCTACAATATGTCTTATGAACATGGGGTTCTCCCGTCCAACTGGAAAAATGCCACTATTATCCCCATCCCTAAGCCGGGAGATCCTGGGAAATATCGACCCATTAGTCTTACCTCCTGTGTTTGCAAGATGATGGAGAGGATACTCCATCGTCGCCTTCTTCACACCATAGGCGGCTTCCACAACTCCCTCAATGGTTTCATTCAACATCGCAGCACAGCACACTCCATTGCTTCCTTTTATTGCAATCAGACTGCCCGCGTCTCCGTCTTCCTTGATATCAAGGGAGCCTTTGATACGGCTCAGCCTGCCCTCATTTTAGCTGAACTTGCACGGTTAGGGGTTAAAGGGAGACTTCTACAATGGATCGCCTCTTACCTCACTGGACGTCAGGCCCGGGTTCGCGTTGAAGGCTCTATGTCTCCTGTTCAAGAAATGAACCTCGGCACCCCTCAAGGTGGAGTCCTGAGTCCCACCTTGTTTAACACTCTCATGCACTCCATTGCATCACTCCCGTGGCCGACAGAAGTTGTCCACTCAGGATATGCCGACGATGTCCTCCTCCAAGCCCCTGACTACCTCAGCATGCAGGAAGCCCTTGATCTGGTCTCCAGAGAGTGTGATTCACTTGGTTTCCTTCTTTCAACTGCGAAAACAAAAGCCATGTGGCACGGTCGTGTTGTACCTCCACCCCTTTTCTTATCAGGAACGCCCTTGGACTGGGTTAATGAGACAAAATACCTGGGTGTGTATGTAACTCGCACACGTTGTCAGATCCCTGAAGTCCGCTATCTTCGAGACATATGTTTTCGGCGTCTCGCTCCCCTCTCTACCATGTGCAGGGGTTCCCTTGGTGCCAGCATCCCTGTACTTCTCACCATGTACAAGTCTTTTGTCCGTTCCTGTGTCGACTACGCCGCCCCTGCCCTCGTCAACATTAGTCGGACTGCTGTCAACCGTCTCGAAGTTATCCAGAGGAAAGCTGCTCGTATCATCCTTGGGGCTCCTCAGTGGACACGCTCTACTTCTCTATATACCGAACTTGGTCTTTCCCCCTTACAGGATCGTGTCCAGGAGTTTTACCTAAAAACTGCCGTTTCCATTCTACGGGATCCTAGGGGCAACTATGTCCAAACCAACTTGACTACTGCTGTCCGAGACCGACCTCCATCTAGAAGACAGTGGCGAGGGTCACTCATCCGAGCCCTTCAGGAACACGACCTCCTGCCTGATATTGTTGTCACCCCTGCTGTTGGTTCGTCTCCTTCTCCCTGGCTGGATTTTCAACCTGAAGTGATTGCCCTCGGTGGACCGCTCCCGAAATCCCAGGTGAACCCTGTTATTCTCTGCAAATACCACCTCTCCAGGATCGCTCACTGGTCCCCAGGTAGGGTCGTCCTCTACACTGATGGTTCTGTTGACCCCGCTACAGGTAGGGCCGGGGCTGGTGTCTACATCTCCCGTCCTCATGCCCCTGAGCCTATCAAACTGTCTCTCAGAGTTTCTGACGGGGCATCCTCCACTCAGGCTGAACTAATAGCCCTCCTTGCTGCCCTTCTCGCTGAGGAAGAAGCAGATGGTTTCTGCCCCTTGCTTGTCTGCTGCGATTCCAGGTCTGCTCTCGACGGGATCGCATTTGGATCTGGGGAAAATAAGGACCTCATCCTCCGAATACGAGGGTTAACATCCACACTTCAGGATGAAGGCCGTCCTGTGACATTCCTATGGATACCTAGTCATGTCGGTATCTTGGGGAATGAGGCAGCAGATGACCTTGCCAAGACTGGCTGCAACAAGGCCACACCTGACTACGTTGTTCCTCGAACACTCTTACAGATTAGGACCCAAATCCGCCGCAAACAGAGAGAAGCTCGGGAAGCAGCCATCCCCCTGGACTCCCCGCCCACATGGTACGATGTCCTCCGTAAACTTCCTGACTTCTCGTACGTCTACGGGAAAGGGTCGCGGAAGGGGGACGTGATTGCTGCCCGTATCATCATCGGGTATGACTTTGCTTGGGAGATTGGTATCCCCACATCCCCTGAGCAACGCTCTTGTGCGTTATGCAGAAGACCCGACAGCCGCACCCTTATCCACTACCTCCTAAGATGTCCCCACACACAACGCTTCCGTGACGCCTGCTGGACCACCACTCCACGACCCCCTGACGGAGACAAGATGATCCTCCCAATACTGGCCAGATATTTTGTAAATAATATTAATTATGTGTTAAAGGAACATCCTTCCTTCCTTAGGCTTTAGTAAGCCCCTTTATAATATTTATACTGTATATACTTTTCACACTTGCCAGATGACTCTGGTGTCATTGTACAGGGGTACCTAGTGACAGCACTAGGATCCCGCTTCCTCTATCAAGGAATAAACAATTGAAATTGAATTGAATTGAAGAGAGATGGTTCAGCACAATGATAGTCAGTCAAGTTAGGTTAGGGTTTAGGATGAACAATTCAGGGCATACTTACCTGGCACAGGAGATACCGTGATCACAAAGGCGGTTTTCCCAGGGCGAGGCTCACCATTGCACTCCGGTGATGCTGACCCTTGCGATTAACCCAAATGTGGTTAACTCGAGTGCGCAATAAATAGTACTTGATTTATGCTTAAGGTCAGCAAAGAATTTTTTTTCTACGCTACTTTTATATGATTTATATTTTGACAATTACGTGTGAATGAAAGATTTTCAAACTCTCTAATTGATGCCTAGTAACTCATAATATTGAAAGAAGTTGGGTTTTTTTTAATAGTCTGTATCACACTCGACAGTCACTCACTGTCACAGCAATGAAAGAAATCTATCATGATCTTGTTTACCAACACCTGATACACTGTCACACAGTATGGGGGGGGGGGCCTCTAGCTCTTCAAAAACATAATCTCTGGTTACTGCACAAAAGAGAGTTGTACGGACAATGACCTACTTTAAAAAAAAACAGATCACACAAATAAAAAATTAGCTATATTGAAAATTTTTAAATTCGAAGATGTTAACACCTACTGCTGTGCCCCGTTGTTTACAAATCTATCAATCACTTTTCATTCGCCTCTACCGCCGTGGACTTCCCCGAGTGTTGATGTTGTCGTCCACACCTTCCCTGGTCGTAAATCCACCCAACTGCGGTATATGCTCAAACTTAACTGCCTTGAGCAGATTAATGATGTCGCCTCCTCTCTTAAGACCTCCCACCCTCCTATCCTCGTCTACTGTGATGGGTCTGTTACCACGCTGGGCAGCTCTGGGGCAGCTGTGTGGATTCCTGAGCGCCAGGCCTGCAGGAAAATCAGGGTCCACGACTGGGCCTCCTCCACTGATGCTGAAAGCATAGCCATCCTCGCGGGCATTCATGAGGTGGCGACCTACTGTATGCTCGCACTGAACGCTGGAACCTCCTTATAATCAGTGACAGCACTTCGGCGCTAGCGAGGCTCAAATTAGCCTCCCCCTCCTCCCCTGCCGCCCAACACACCCTAGCCGCCGTCGCCGGGCTAGAACAAACTGATGACTTCCGTGTCAAGTTTATTTAGATCCCGTCACTTATAAGAATAACTGCCTGTGACACTGTAGGTCGGCTTGCCAAAGAAGCTACACAAGAAGAAGATATTGAAGCCGCTCTCGCCCTCTCCTTGAGTCATCTCAAATCTCGCATACACGCCACACAACGAGAGGCATTCGATGAAAATTGGACACACCTGAAGCAACGGGGTAGCGTCACACTATGCCACTATGACGCTGTAACCGGTGACGACAACCGCCACTACAAAGAGTATCAATCCCTGACTCGATCTCAACAGATTATGTACATGAGACTGCACCTAGGGTACAGGTACCTATGGGAGTACATTGGCAACCCTGAGCCTGGCCGCACTGTTTGTAAACTTTGCGGCCAACCCGACTCTCACACCCTCTCTCACTACATCCTCACTTGCCCTATGACCACCTCCTACAGGTCCCTAGCTGTTACCAACACCTCTTCCCTCCCTGACCAGATATCCCTCCTCCTAGTGACAGGCCTGGCACTTGACATTATTAGGGACCTGCCACGCTTTGCCATAAACAGATGAAATGTACCGGGAACTTTCCCCCCACGCACTCATCATTCTCTCACTTTATGTAACTTGACAAAACCTATGACCCTTCAGGCTTTTACCCCCTTAATTCACGAGTCATAAAGGCAAGTATGAACTTTGCATACTTCCCAGATGGGCGCTGTAAATGCTTCTGCGCTTCACCTTGCACAGGATGTAAGGGGGTGCCCAATAAACTATCCCCCTCGGGGGCAAATCTGAATCTATCAATCACTTGCTTGACAATAATTATTTCCAGTTCCGGTATAATCAGAGATACAACTTAAGGCACCCAGAGCTACTCCTCCATAAAATATCACGGTGTGAAGGTGTGGAACAACTTACCCCCACACATCCGAGCAAAGCCTACGCTCCCTTCCTTTAAATCATCTCTTAAAAAAAATCTATTGTCTAAGTATTAATATTTCTTGTAACACCTACTATATTTACAGTACCTGCTTTTATTGTACCATCAAACCGTTTTATCGGAAATTATCATGAAAATAGATAAGTAATTACCATTGCAATAAACATAATTGCCAACGAGACATAATCATGTTCTGTCCTCTTGTTCAACCTTATTACTGTACAACCCAATTGTAGTTGGGTAGGAGACGCTAATTTTCAGCAAATCAGCTCAGCTGGGGCGCCTGTGGGTAGAGCTGTACCGCTCTTGCCTTGCAAGCCAGTTGTCACGGGTTCGATTCCTGGGTCGGTGGAAATTTGTTCCGACACACTTGCCAGCTTCCCTTGGTCCTTGTTCACCTGGCAGCAAAGTAGGTACCTGCTATAAATCGAAAGTTGCGAATTCGTATTCAGGGAAAGTTGTTTGAGCTTCCAATAACTTGCTTTGACATAAACCACTGACTCTTCAGGCTTCTACGCCCTTGACTCTTCAGGTTTCTACGCCCTTAACTCATGAGACATATTCCTCCTACACCGTCTTCCACCTTCTTGAGCCAATGGCTCTCTTCTCTCCATCCCATCATCATCATCAACCATGAACTTAGCATGCTTCCCTGTTGGGCGCTGTAAACGCTTCTGCGCTTCACCTTAAACAAGGATGTAAGGGGGTGTCCAATAAAAAAAACAAAAAAAAACAGCTCAGCTGCGCCTTTCGCGTCACACTTAGAGGTCACGGTGATTGGCTAAGATGTAGGCACATAGGCAGGCTCTTTTTGGTGTAATATGCCTCTATAATGGCTTTTTGGCAGGAATATTGTCTAAACTAGATTCTCATAGATTTTCTCTAAAACATGACAATTTACATGGCACTGTTACAGAAGCATTTTTTTCCTATGTTTTTTTGTTTTTTTTTACGTTATCAAACTTGACTTGAAGCCTGTAGATAAGGATGAAGGGCTAATATTTGTTGCTGGGTTTTTGTTGGAAGTACTTTGGAAGTATTGGGGCGGGGGGGGAGGGGGTTAGGTGGACGTAAATGAGGGGAAAGTTTGAAGGAAATTAGGAGAGTTAAAGTATCCGGGCTCAACTAGACATGCTGTATTTTAAAATTCTTTATTGATCTTTTATACTAATAATTTAAGTTGTAGCTCGCTAGCTTTTGACTTTTCTTCTCGTTCATGTTTTGATATAACAGTAGATAGTATTTCAAGCGCTATAATAATTATTTAATGTTTTTTTTTTTGTTTTTTTTTTTAAGATTTATTGGACTGCTACTCCTGCGGACCTGAAGTTACCAGTTTCATACAGGCGTAATAGTGGTAGGTATGATTGATTGATTGATACGTTTATTGAGATACAAAAAAACATTAATACATCTCAAAGGGATGAAGTGACATAAGTCATCCTCACCCCAGTCCAGGAATGTCCCTCTCAGGACTCACATAAATCCCTAATATTTCATATAATTAGTTATAATACATAGTTATATTCTAGATGCAAAATTTCTATATTTCTTTAATATTTCATCTATTTTCCCATTTCCAAACATCCACTCTATTTGCATGGGGACATTATTTATATGGGCATTTCTATATACATTAAGCAATGGGCATTCCAGTATATAATGTGGCAGGGTATGGGATCTGGATGTTCTACAAACTCTACATTCTTTATCCTGTTCACTTCTCTCAGCTCCAAGTTCCCAATAATATATATATCCTAATCTTAACCTCATATACACTGAATCTTTCCACCTACTCCTATCTTTCCCATATGTAAATTTTGTGTTCATGAGAACATGATGGTAATGTTTCATTGTTTCACTTTTCTCGTATATTTCATTCCTTTTGAAATTATCTTCTATTGATTGTATTTTCCGTAATTTGCTCCTTAATTGCTTCAAGGTTTTAGTACATATTATGTCGATCTCGGCCTTTTCCGTGGCTCTTTTTGCTATTATATCTACTGCTTCATTAAGACCAATCCCCACATGTGAAGGAACCCATACAAATTGAACATTATGGCCATTTTTCCTTATTGCATTTACTAATTTTCTACATGAACCAATAATGTGTCCAAAGACTGGACTCCCACTGTTCAAAGAATCCAAAGCTGCCCTACTATCAACAAAAAATATGCATCTTTATACCTCTTTACAACATTTTCCAATCCTACCAACATTGCATATAACTCAGCTTGTGTTGATGAAATAAAACTGCTCAACCGAAGTCCAATTTTGATGTCATCATTTCCTTGTTCTGTGTACTGTCTTATAAGGATCCCGCACCCTGCCCTACCACTTGACATAACTGAACCGTCACAATATACATGCAATGTGTTTATTTTAGGCAAATTACTAATCTTATTCCCATATAAAGCCCTTAACTGTCCTGGTTCATGTAATGATTTCTTCATTGTGAGAGGCACTATGTCTAACTCTACTTCTCGTTCTTCCCAGGGTGGATTCTTACAACTCTTCTGAACAGCTGTACACCAGTCTGCCAGATTACATTTTTTAATAATATTTACTAATCCATTCATGTATCCTCTCTTGCCTTGCCTGCAGAAGGTCCTTTTATCTTTTAAACCATCATTTATATCTTGTACAAATTTAACCCCACTGTTCCCTCTCATTAATCGAACTGCTGCAACTGTATTAATTTCATTGACCCTCTGTGAAATGCTCTGTAACCCTAGTTCCATTTTCATTATCTCAATCATTGCATTCTTTTGACACCCTAAAATTATTCTCATTGCTTCATTTTGCATGATCTCAAGCTTCCGTAGCCTTCCTTCACCAGTACAAGAGAGCCCAGGTGCTGCATAGTCTATAAGTGATCTGATGGTAGAAATATACATCATTCTCAGTATGGGTACCCCAGCACCTTTACCACAACATGCTAGTGCCTTTAAGGGCTGTAATCTTGCTCTACATTGAGTGAGGACATGATATATTTCTGCGTCTTTACTTTCACTAGTAAAGCCAATATACATTCCTAAATATTTATACTTTGACACTTTCTCTACAATTTTTCCATTTAGAAAAACGGATTCAGTTCCTCTTCCTTTACATTCACACTTGGTTTTTTCTTCATTGATAACTAAGCCCATCTTTTGAGAAAGAACACTAAAATTATTTAATG